TCCGGGAAAGTGAGTCAGAGCTTGGTTCGTATGGACAATCTCACTGATTACGACGGATACGTGGAAAACACATGCTTAAACGCATTTTCCACAACGTGCAACACTCACACTGCATAAGAAAACATGGTCAGCATTATGTAGTGCACATGCCCCGACCATATGTCTAAAATGCTAACGAAGCACTGTCCGCTCCACTCTGTTTGTCTTTGGAATGCACTGCGTGCACAGGAAATGGACAGCGGTCCACGGGTGTGCGACTGCGGCAGACCTTTCATGTCCTTACGGACTTTAAACTCGCATCGTGCGAGGGCATGCCCCGCCGTGACGGATGAGGGAGCGCAAAGGCAGGAGAATGATGCTGCCCACGACCCGGGACCATCCAACATAGGCGCAGCCAATCTCGCTGGTGATGAGAGCGAGGACGCGGGGGAGGAGGACGACCCGAATGGGGCAGCCGGTGATAACGCAGAGCCGGCAGCGCAACCCATCGAGCCTTTTCACAGCTCGCGCAGGCTAGCAGCGCTTATTTTCTCCGCCAGGGGCGGCGTCGGTATGTCACATACGGACGTTGATGCTCTCTTGTCACTTCTCAAAGACCCGAGATTCAGCGCGACGGACATTGCGTACCGCAACAGTCGAGAGTGCTTCGCATGGGCGGGCAGTCTAGCAGAGGCCGCTGGGTGGAAGGAGTTGGATCTGCGTAGTGACGACTGGCCTCAAGAACCGCACGCCGTCTTGTGGCACCGCGATTGGCGAACTGCATTCTTATCGATAATGCACGTCGCGTTGCAGAAATGCGAGACAGTTCATTCCCTCGAGGTGTCCCCGTCGTCGGAGGACAACAGTGTATCCGGTCCGCGCAGCGGGGCGCTCAGTTATCACACGCAGTCAATCATTCGAGCGCACAAAGGTGTCGACGAGAATGGATATTCACGATATGTAATCCCTCTCTCACTGTACTCTGACAAGACACACACAGACGGTCGTCAGAAACAGACGGCATACCCTCTTATGATGTCGCTAGCCGACCACGCGTCGGAAGCCACTCTGCTGGCCTATCTTCCCGTGCTTCATCATCGACCCCGTGACAAAGGATGGGGTCTACAGTCCACCGCATTYAGGAAGCGAAAGGCCGTCATCTTCCACAAGGCCCTTTCGACGGTCTTGCAAGCTGAGAAGGAGACATCGCACGACGGCATCACGATACCGTCGACGCGATTCGGGGACGTGACTGTCCACCCTTTCTTCCTCAACTATATACACGACTACCCAGAGCGATGTGCGCTGGCGAATGTGAAGTTTGGTGTATGCCCTACATGCACCGTGTCGAAAACGGACCTCGATGTCGTGGCCGATTTCACGGATAGCAGGAGATCCCAGACGCTGGAAACTCAACTCGCAGCAGCTGTGTTCACGGCGGACGACGACGACGTGCACCGTGTGGCGGAAGGGCAAATGGCGGAGTTGGACATGCATAGGCATGTTGAACAGAACGGCCTTTGGGGGTTCTACAGGGGGCCGAGTGGCGATGATCCTCAGCTAGACTACCACCTCGCATTGCAACCAGACCGTATGCACACGATCGAACACGGCATATTCCTACACATGATCGACGCATTCAGGGCGGAAGCCTTTGAGAAGTTGTCGAACACACCGCAAACCTAAAGGAACTCGATGCGAGATTGCAATGCATTAGTGAGAGATGTACGTGAACATATCCCCAACTTATGCTGCCCGTGGCCACAGGCAGTGATTTTTTTTCTCGAGAGGGACGCTTCGAGGCGAAGCAAAACCGGTTTGTGATGACAGTGTGCGTGTTCCTCATTTTTAATACAACCCCGCGCTCGACAGGCAAGGGCATTACCGCTTGTTTTGTTAAGCTGATGCAAATGTACGTACGGTTGTTTCGGCGCACAGCACACACTCGAGCTTCCCTCGACGAATGTGACGCGTTGATGACGGACTTCGTAACGACCATCAAAGCGAAATTGGGAAGATACCAACCATCAAATTGGAAACTCCCGAAGTTGCATGATCTTATGCATATGAGAACGAGTATTGAGCGATCTGGTGTGGCCGACACATTCGCTGCAGTCGTTTGGGAGCATCACCACAGGAGATTCTGCAAACAACCGTACATGTCATCGAACAAAAGGAAAGCGTCAATCCAGATGGTCAACCACGTGCGCCGGTCGCTGGCGTTGCAGGAGGAGACCGGATTTGTGAGGAAAAGGAGGAAAAGGGCCGTCGAGAATAGGTCTTCTGTGATGGACTGTATGGCAACGGGGATGAACACCCTGGCACTACGCGATATGTCAATCCTTCAACTGCGCTGGTTTGACATCGATCAGGACCAGATATGCGAGGTGGAAGGCATTGACAGTCATGCGTGTAAGATACTTGAAGAGCTCCCTTTCAGAACCGATTTTCGAGCAGCGATTACGACGTACATGGCGGAGAATGGTTGTCAACCTCCTCCTGATGATCTCGCTATACACASACGAACACATCTCGCCATCGCTTGCACGCAGGACGGAACAAACAGGGGCACACTTGTTCAAACTGCACGAGCGTCGCCGCAGTTCCACGGGAGACCAGTGCACAGCGACGTTGCAATAAGAGCAGCCAAAGAATGTACGTGGTTCGCATCAGTGGCCATGTTTTTCGTCGTCGATGCACCCACAGACGGCGGTAATGTGGAACACAAGTGCGCTTTTGTGCAGTGGTACACAGAGGTTGACAGTGAACGGGAACACGTGACAGGTTGCAAGGAATTGAAATGGGAGAAGGCGAATGGACATCAGCACAGCAGCTTCGTTTCAACCGACACTATCGTGGACACCGTTCACATTGTTCCGCGCTTCTGTAAACCACAATGAGGATCGAAAATGCATGCGCGCCACCGTGAGGACTGTTTTTTTTTAAACAAGTACATATTGCAGAAGGAATAAATTTGAAGTTTGAGAGAGAGAGAGAGAGAGAGAGAGAGAGAGAGAGAGAGAGAGAGACTCATTTCAATTACGAGAAAATCTGTAAGTCTGTCTATTTCTTCTCGCGACAAGATGGTAATGTCGTTCTCGGCCGAAGTAAATCTTTCTAGTAGCTGTAAACAACTATGATGTCTAACGCTGACATACCTACGAAGGAGAACC